CGCTGCTCTAAATGCTGCTCGTAAATATTTCTGTGGCCGCTGCCTAAGTGGACCTTGGGCCACGCGTTTCCATGGCGATGGAAGCCCTGCCGTCTACACGCACCGTGGTTCCCGGGAGAAACGGATGAACAGAACCTGTGGGTGGGATCATTGGGAGAAAAGAAGTTTCTTCCTCTCCCCCTTTTTTTTAAAAAAAAAAATATATTTTATTGAATTTTTACAGAGAGGAAGGGAGAGGGATAGAGAGTTAGAAACATCGATGAGAGAGAAACATGATCAGCTGCCTCCTGCACACCCCCTACTGGGGATGTGCCCACAACCAAGGTACGTGCCCTTGACCGGAATCGAACCCGGGACCTTTCAGTCTGCAGGCCGACGCTCTACCCGCTGAGCCACACCGGCCAGGGCTCTCTTCCCTCCTTTTCTCTCAGGCGTCCGTTTGCTCCGAGGATGGGAGTGGGTCTAAGCTGACGAGGAAGCGGCCCTTGAACTTCAAAGCACACCCCACTGAGGCTTTCCTGTGTTTGTTTTAAACTGGAGGCCTCTCTCTAAAGGAAAAGAGAGTCCCCGTCATGCCAGCTCCGGGACAGGTTCCCAGCAGATGCCACGGCTGCTCGGCCAGAGAAGCTCGGGTCTTGCTGGCCGACTACAGTCTGCTGCCGCGTCCTGGCGGAAATCGTCACTCAGGGATTCTTCTGTCCATGATTTTTTTAGAGGGAAGAAGGGAGGGAGGGAGAGAGAAATACTGACGTGAGGGCGAGGAGACGGGTTGATTGGGAGTACCAGGAAGATATGTACAGGGAAGACACTGTTATTTATGACGTCCTCTCGTGATTAGACACCCATGAACCTCATCATCTTTTTAATTGTTATAATTTACCTTCTCAAGAGCTCTACCCACTTTCCCACTTATTAAAAAAATATTTTTTTTCATTACACTAAAAGCTCTCCCGTATACATCATTTAAAAAATAGGAGCCAACGTGAAATAAAATAGAAAAATAAAAAAAGAAACATAGGGTTTGATTTGCTCTGATTTGCAGGACAGGGTAAGGGAGTGATGGACACAAACTGTAGTCTCCGCCGGACACACGAGAGCCGCGGTCGCCAGCTGGTGGTCCGTGAGGTCCGAAAGGTTGGCGATCGCGGCTCTAGAGTATTGGCATCGTCTCCAACAGGCTGTACCAATCTGAGCGTGGAGTGATTATACACATTTACTTTATATGTATATATATATAATTTTATTGATTTCCAAGAGGAAGGGAGAGAGAGAAATAGAAATATCAATGATGAGAGAGAATCATTAATCGGCTGCCTCCTGCACACGCCACACTGGGGATCGAAACACCAACCCGGGCCTGTGCCCTGACCAGAAATCAAACTGTGACCTCCTGGTTCATCGACGCTCAACCACTGAGCCACACTGGCCGGACTGTACACATTTACTCTGAGTGATATTAAATTCCTCAATATTTTCCCAAATTTTCTTCCCAGGTAATAAAACGTAAAAAAAGAAAGAAAATCCCTGCGCTGTTTAAATTGATGTGTGTTATAGACAGGAAAAGGGTAATTGATTTACAAAGACGTGTATGTGATGTCAGAGAACCCTCCACATTCCCTGACTTCTCAGCTCTGTAGCCTTTTGCAAGAAAATGATTGATACGTAGAAGCCCGTTGCCTCCTAACAATTCACTGTTTCACATCTCCCACCATCATAGCGTACCTGACACACATTAGAAACAGGAAAATGTGTGGGGCAGATGTCAGAACATAAGAAGCCTCAGGAAATCTTTCAATTCAATGTATTTTATTTTTTACAAACTTTTTATTGATTTTTTTTAGAGCACGAGGAAGGGAGAAGGAGAGTGTAACATGGATCAGCTGCCTCCTGCACGCCCCCTACTGGGGATTGAGCCCACAGCCTGGGCCGGTGCCCTGACCCGGAATGAACCTGCAACCTTTGGGTGTACCAGCCGACACCCAACCCACTGGGCCACAGTGGCCGGGGCCCCATGCTTGCTTTTTATTTTCTAGCAATATCTGTTGTGCCGGCCTGTTGCAGGCCTCTCCCTGTCCATGCCATCTCTCTGCTTGGTTCCATATTTTCATCTTTAAAGATGCATTTCAGGCATTATTTTCTCCAGGAACGGCCGGGTAATCTTAGGGATAGTTTCTCCTTATGCCTGAGCTGTGACGTCTCCTTTTGACTGGACTACACTGAAACCATCGGTTTCTGCATGGGGTTTCCTTCAACCAGACTTAAAAGTTCTCAAGTCTGACACCTTGATTTGCTCATCTTTCTCTCCGCAGAGCTTCATCAGAGACTGGGCACACGGCAGTGCCCGAGACGCGTGTGTGGGTCTGAAATGGAAGGAGGCCCTGGGCCTGATGGTGGAGCAGTGCGGAGGCCTCGGAGCTCCGGAGACTTCAGAGGAAGCCAAGAGGCGGCCGGGCGCGGGCGTCAGGAGGAGTCCGGAGGAAACGGCTTGGCTTGCTTTACGCAGGAGCACGTGGACGGGGCAAAGGAGAAAAGGTTGGTCCAGCCAGGGCCTTGCAAATAGAAGGTGAAGCAAAATGAGGAGATGCTGGAATCTCATAGAAAAAAACGGGCCAGGATGGACGAGGAGGTGAAGGGCCTTGGGGAGACGTTGGAACTGCCGGTGGGTGCAGGGTGGGCTGATGTACAGGCTCGCTGGCTCTCAGAGCTCGCGTGGACAGACGCAGCCCCTGCCTGTGGTGGTTCCTCCCCGGTCTCTTCCTGTGCCAGGTAGTTTGGAATCTTCTGGAATGCCTCTGTGCCCTGCAGAAAGCTGCTTCCCCCAGCTGTGTGGCCCAGGATGGCTTTGCTCTGCCTGCAAAGGGAAGTGTGTGTGTGGAGAGCACTGAGCACCCCCCAAAGGACCTGGGCTGGGTCAGCGAGCCCAGGACCCCTGAGGGGGTGGGGCAGCTGAAAGCCGAGTGTTGCTTGTTAATGCACGCCTGGATTTCCCCCAACCCGGCTCTTTTTTCTGGCTGCTATTTTATGGAATACTAATTATATCCTAGGGCTACCGACTTCTAATGAGCCAGGACCTGGGAGATTAAATTGGCACGCGCTTCTTCTTAGAGGCGTTATTTCTTTTTAAACAGAGCATTTGAATATGCAGATGTAAGGTAATGATTTTTCATTTAAACATGTAATATTTCTCGGTAGACCAACTTATCATTATGCCTGATTATTCCACCACATTGTGAGCTTTGTTGAAAGAAGAAAAACGGCTCATCTTCCTGATGGTAAAAAAAAAATAAAAAGAATTACAAAATAAAATAAAATACATAAACAAGTAAATAAAAGAAACCGACTGAATGTAAGTGACCCTGTGTATAAAAGCTGCCCTGGGTTGCTGTGGTAACCAAAGGTCTAAAAATGACAGGAAGAAAAGAACACCGGTTTGTTGTGACAAATGACACTTGAAGTGACAGGCTCCTTGCAGCGCCTGCTTGTAATGAACGCGGCTCTGTCAGGAACGTTAAGACCCAACAGTAGGCTAACGTGGACGTCGGAGACCTGGCCGGAGGACTTGTGTCCAGGGTTGGGCTAATGAGCCAACACAGAGTCCTGCAGAGGGAGCAGGGCTCTGGGGGAGCAGATGCCTGATGGTGGGTCCCATGGTCATGTGACCAGCATGTGCACCATACCTGCTCTCCTGGGTTACATACATATATATCCAGGAGATGCACAGGTCACAGAAAACATTACACGTCTATATAAACCAATGTAAAGGGTGTCCCCTCTGCCCCCAGGCGTGTACACACTTTGCATACTTATTCATTCCAATGATTCTTTTCAGATTTAAGCCATTGGAATAAGTATTCAAAGTGTGTATACGTTTTTGGGGGACACCCTGTATATTGCATGTGGGTGGGCAAAAGTCGGTTACAGTTGTTCATGTGGAAAATAATACTATGATTCATAAGTAATGATACAAGAATGAACTGCTTCCTGTGCTCACAGCTGTAAGCCCACCTTCGCCCACCCCTCATTACCTTACATCTGCATATTCAAATGTTCTGTTTAAAAAGAAATAACGCCTCTAAGAAGAAGCGAGTGCCCTGTATATAAAATATACTCTCCTTAGTAAGCTTTCTCTCACCAGAATAAGACCCCCCAGCGTGTGGGTTCTTCACTAACAGTGCGCCTCGTGTTAGGGGTGCCCTAACGTTAAAAATGCACAGGTACCCTGGCCGGTAGCTCACTTGGTTGGCGTGTCCTCCCGCTGGGGTTCGATCCCCGGTCAGGGCACATCCCCGTCTCCCTGTCCTCGGGCCCGAAGCCCTGAGTGGGGCCGAGACAGCAGTGACTTGGCTGGACCTAAGATTGTTTTCTCTGGAAGAAATGGCAATTCCCGGGCGGTGAGGGAGGTGTTCGCTAACCTGCTGTGGCAGCCGCTTGGCAAGGCACGCCCATCAAACGCCGTGTTGCGCACCATCACCTTTCACAAGCTTCCCTGCCAGTTATATCTCAGTAAAGCTGGGAAAAAATAAAAAGAATCCTTTGGGAATATTGTAGAGTGCTCCCTTAATAGAGTTCGACCACTGAATATTAATTATAATCGTCTCGTCTGTCACTGACATAAATTAAAGGATGAGCAAAGACATCAGTACTGACCACACAAACCGTTCCTGGCTGGGGGATCGCTCCACGTCCCCAGGAAGGAAATAACAACTGTCAGCAATTATATTTAGCGTTCTTCTTGGTAAAAACGTACGTGGGCTTCGGGCATTTTTTATACCTAATTCCAAAAGAAAGAAAAAAAAAAAAGTTGTGGCGTTCCCACACCGGGAGTCGAACCCGGGCCGCCTGGGTGAAAACCAGGAATCCTAACCGCTAGACCATGTGGGAGACGACGAGGGCTGGGCCGGGCGTAAGCGAGTTGAATCGAGTGCGTGAGACGGGAAAAGGGAGCCGTGATCCCCGGCCTCTGGTCGGTCGCCACGGTGACCCTTTAGACCAGATTTCCCATCGCCTCTTGGCCGAGGCCTTGGGAGGCCACTGCTCCTCAGGTCTTTTGTGGGGAGGCCTGACATTGAAACCGGAGCAAAACCCCCAGACGGCTGTGAGAGGAGGAGCCCGCGCCCTGCGCCACTTGAACGCTGCTCATGTCGGGGGAACCAAACGTAAGGGAACAGGCCAGCCCGTAGGGAACTCCTGTGAGTTTATCTGAGCCACACTGTCAGCAGTTGCCGGGAAGCAGAGCCTCCCGTGCCGGGTTAAGGCTCGGAGAAGAGTGGTTCCCGCCTGTTTTTGTAAATTACCCCCAAAAAGGGACAGGGGCCTGGTTCCCTGAAGTCCGCTGGTGACCGATGGGGGAGGCGGGAGAAAGAGCAGGAACCGGGGGTGGGATGAAAAGTAAGAAGACAGACACACGCACCTTCTACCGAAGCGGGTGCAGGGCCGGCAGCCCCCAACAACAACATAACAATAATCCCCCCTGTCCGCAGGCTCGTTATCCGGATGCAGAGACAACGGGCTCAGCAAGGATGGGGCTGATCTCTGTCGGGGAAGACACCGGCTGGGGCGCGACTGCCCACCAGGAGCTGCCCTCTGATGGAGGTTTCAGCTCCAGGCCACCCTTTGTGGTGACTGGAGTTTGCCAGGCCCCCACGCAGGCCTTCTCCGTGTTTTTGAGGTTAGCATGTGACCCCCTTTTGTCCACACAACAAGCAAATAAAAAAACAAAAACAACAAACAAACCGCCTGGGAGATACGTATCCTCAACCCGTGTGAGCGGTCGTTGTCGGATGTAAGCCAGAAGCCACAGGGCTCTAACAGGCCGCTGGCACAAACAGTGTGGGAACTTGGGAGCAGGGCAGCGTCTAGGACGCTTCTGGGGGGAAATCTCGGCCTCGCTGGCTCCCAGTGGCCGTGGGGCCACAAAGCAAAAGCGTGGCCAGGCCAGGGGCTGGCGGGTGGGGGGAGGAAGCTTCTAGAACACCAGCAACACTCGTCCGCAGGCTCGCGTCAGGGTGCCCCAGCCCCGCAGTGACCAGGCAGTTCTCTTTTCAGCTCCTTTCGTATTGAACCACATTTATTTTCTCAAAGCAGTGCAAGGGAACACACTGTGAAAGGCCACGCATTTATGCACCTTGAAAGGAAACACCAAACGTGGCGATGGTCTTTGCGGCTCAGAGTGTGGTTTTGGACCGGCCGTCTGTGTTTGGAAGGGAGCGTGTTCTCGGGACGGATGGGACGGTGGTCACTGTGGACGCGGCCAGGGCGGACCGCCAGACCCTCCACGCTCCGCCTGGCCCGTTCCTGCGGCCGTTTCCTCTGAACGAGGTCTTCGTAGTGGCTTTTGCTTTTCCAAAAGCACGCGTCCCTTGTTACGGTGACCGAGGGCCTGACATCTCTGTATCTCCTGTGCTTGTCCTGTTACCGGTTTTCACCATTTTTCCTGAAATGGCAGTCAGTCCCTTTTGACTTTGTAAAGCCCGATTATAACCTGTCAGTACTTTTTCCAGCTGTAGGTTACACTGTGACAGGTCTGACGGTGTTTTCCAGGCTGTTCTAATCATTTTATTTGTAAAATGCTGTTTGTTTGATGCCAAACCTAGATTAAATACTTGACTGAATTGTGGCTCCAGCCTCTTCCAGAAATGTCACCGGGGTCCTTTCTAAGCATGAAAATGGCAGGTGCGGTGTGCATTGGAGCTGTTTTCTCCAGGACATACCGCAGAAAGTGGTAAGAGGACACAGAAGAGGGCTTTCTCCCATTGAATGGCTACCGCGGAAGGGGTAAAAATGGATTCAGGTTTAAAAATGTCCCGGGAAGGGCTAGGCAGCGGGCTGTCATCACTCAGAAGCTGGCCTGCAGTTAGAGACGCCCCCTGCTCCCCGATCCCACAGCGGCCCCCACTTCCCTGAGCCTGCAGAGGGAGCAGGGCCTCCCACCCAGGTTCCCACGTGACCCGCGTGGCAGGCACCCCCCCCCATACTTTGACAACCTGAGTTCTTGCAGCATCAATTTCTAAGTTCATTCATTTTTTCTTAAATGTTTTTATTGATTTTATATATTTATTTTGTGGGACTATTTCTATCTTAATAAAATAAAGATCCTTCTAGGCACAGGGCTGTCCATACTCAGGGTGTGCTGGGTGCCTGAGGGGGCCCACGGGGGAAGTCGGTGCCCATCCCTGCAGCAGCGCCCGTACTGCTGCGTCTCTGGGTGAGGATGGCTTCTCTTGGTCCGGCTGCCTCTTTATCTATTTTCTTATATGTTTTTACTGATTTCAGAGAGCAGAACGGCGGAGAGACGTGGACTTGTCTCTCCTACTGCACTCCCCGGCCTGGGCCCAGGCCGGTTCCTCAGCTCCTCTTGGGTGAGTCTGCGCCCTGTGCCTCCGGGACTCTGATGAGCGTGACCTTGACCTGGGCGGGCTGTGGCCGCGTGGGCCTCTGTGGGAGCCTGTGTCGAGGTCCCCAGTGTGGCCTCTGTGCCGGGCAGACCCCGGCCACACGCGGGGGTGCAGATGTGTCCGAGTCTCCTGCTGTGGAAGGAGCCGAGGGCCACGTCTCCGGCCGAGGGCACGAGGTGAGAGGCAGGTGGAAATGGGCCCGGCGGCTGGGGCACTGTGATTGACAGCCGCGATGGCGAAGCCTCTTCTCCGCCTCCTCTCTGTCCCGCACGTCCACTTACCGTCCTCTCCATGAAGTTGCCGAGGAGCCATAATGGGCCTAATTGCCTAACGGCCCCACTTAGTGTCATCCGCTCATCTGCGTCCGGCGTCGGCGTCGGGAGAAGGGTGCTTGAGGGAGCTCATTGCTCACATCTGAGACTCTCGCTGTTCCTTCTGTGTCACACCGTCCAGTGGGCGTTGATGGCCCGTCTTCCCCTTCGTGCAGAATTTCGCGTTATCTGCGAGGAAGGGTAGGTCGTGAGAGAGGTTTGAGGGGCAGCGTTCGTAACCCCAGAAGGGAGAGATGTGGATGAGCGCGCCCAGCAGGTGCTGCCCGTCCCCCGCGTTCTCTGCAGCTGCTGTGCGTGGCCACCGCCCAGACCAGGGACACTCTCTATCTTGGACCCAGCCTTGCCCTTGAGGTTGACCTTGTGGCTGCGATCGGTGCACTGATCCCGGTCTGACCGGCCAGGGCCTGGGCCCCCCAGGGCAGAGCCTTTCCTTCCGGAATGAATTACCCTCTGGAGTCCGTTTTCTGCAAAGCAGTCAGGCGCTGGTGGCAGGAACGCCCGCCCCAGCGAGGGGGCCCCAGGTGTTCAAGCCCCAAGAAGCTCTGAGAGGCTGCCCATCCCGCCTCCCGGGGCTCTGGGTGCTGAGAGGGCCTGTGCTCCCTGCCCGGCTCCGCACCCAGCCGGCACACACTTTGCAGCCCGGGCTGGACGGCGGGGAAGCCCGATCTTTTTTTCCTTCTTTGTAAAAAATATATTTTTATTGATTTCAGAGAGAAAGGGAGAGAGAGAGAGAGATCAATGATGAGAGTCATGGATCGGCTGCCTCCTGTACACCTCGCACTGGGGATCCAGCCCAGAACCCAGGCATATGCCCTGGCCTCCTGGTCCATAGTGCAGACTGAGTTCTGAACTGACATTATTCCAATGGGGGGTGGGAGGGCGGGTAGAGAAGGGGTGCCCACTGCACTGTGGGCTGAAACGCTAGCCTTTGGCACCAGCGGCTTCTGGTGCCTGGTCACCAGACGGTGTCCAGAGGCAAGGCCGAGGGTGCCCCTGGGGAGGTGAATTTTGCTGCTGTGGAACCTGCAGGGGCAGCGCGGCTGCCTCCCAGATGCCCCCTCCCAGATCCCCCTCCCTCCCTCCC